TTCAAATATCACCAATAAATTTATACTCTAGAATATTTATTATACTACTAACAACCTCAAAAATCATATTTATTCAATATAAATTCATCCCCCTTCCAGATCTTAAATTTTCTGCCACTACAAAATTAGAAACCAAAGAGGAAGGATGACTAAGAAATTTTTTAAAACACTTACTTAGTCTTGAAAAGCTTAAAATCATACCCTAAATATCCTATTAAAAACTCTTACCTTAAAAACTCAGATCTCCCTCACCGGCGACTCACGCTCACTCTACCTTAGCTCGCGCACGAAGGAAAGAATGAAGAAATGAAAGAAACGGGTGAGTTTTTATAAAAATTCAGTGGGTCCCACATCTTTTTTTTATTTCTTCTTTCCTCTCTTTCCCTTTTTTTTTATTATATACATAATCATTGCATCAAAAGCGCTCACGTTTTCTTCCTTCTTTCCTTCCTCTTTCTCATGCCTTTTCTCTTTCTTTCTTTTTATAATAATAATAATAATTTAATAATATTTTATTTATTTATTTTTTAATTAATTAATTTTTTTAATTTTTTTATTTTAATTTAGAATTATATCCTAAATTAGATTTAATAATCATTTTCTACTAATTTGCTTACCTCTAAATATTTTTTAAAATTTTTATTAACCCAAATTAATTATTAAAATTTAAATTGGGATGTTACACCCGTCGCGAAGGCCGAGACCTCCACTCGCGCGCCGTCCGCGTCGTATTTTTCTGGGTGCAACAATATCCAATATCTTTTACTTTGGACTAGAACACAAAGAGAGTATATTGCCATACCACCACCCAATATGACCGTATTATTTATAATGATCAATAAATTTTAATTGACTTCATTAAAATTAACCAATTGAAAATTGTGTTTTTTTGCCTGAATTTAAACTCGTACTTTCTCCGTTTAAAAATGCAAAGCATTTTTAACTGAATCTCACTCCCAATAAATTAGTATATACTTTCAAATTAACTCTATCTTTTCATATTTACTTCTATTAAATACCCTATAATAAATATAAAGTCACTATCAATATGGACACTTTTGAAAAAAAAGGCAATGATTGTACATCAAAAAATTAAAAATGCCTTTCACTTTTTAATATTCAACTCTTTCAAAAATGTCTTTCATTTTTTAAGGGAGGGAGTATTCATTACTCACTCAATCTCAAAGAATCAAAATATGTCTTTTTAGGAAAAAAAGTACTTCATTTTATATGTTATTTCAGGAACTCAAAGCATTATTACTTACCTCCACTGTTTCAAAGTAGATTTATTAAGTTTTTTTTTAGTACAAGGTTACAGTAAAAATAGTGTAAAAAGACTAAATTTAGTTATATTAGAAGCCATGAGGCATATACAATCAAGAGGAAAGTAGATTTATTAAGTTTTAGTAATAAATGTAGCAATGTATCTCACCTATCTATGTATTGTAAAGCATCAGAGCACTTTCGATCTACAGTGCTTTAAAAAGTGTTTTACAATATTAAAAAAATTATTTTAAGTTTTGAATGACAATGTGGGACCTACATTATTAAAAGAAATTGGTGTGGGGGCTATAATAAAAGAATATATAAAGATAAGACTTAATAAAATGAGTTTAACAAAAATGATAAATATGGATTTTGTTATGAGATAAAAAATTTAATTAATAATTTTAAAAAATTACATGGGAGTTATGATAAAAATAATAAGTGAAATATCTTCTTTCATAAATATGATTAGAACCATAAACCATGATAATTAAGGGATTAATCCATAAGGAGATTATCAAGTTATAATTTAAAATAAAGGGATATCAAGTTTTCATAGATTAAAAATAAGTTAAAACCATTCATTAGACATTTAATTAGAATAAAATCATGTTACGGAAGTATGAGATACCTTGAAAGAGTTGAAAAGGTTAAAAAAAGTTGAAAAATCTCATTATGCTAAAAATAGAGCAGTGCGTTGTGGCTCATGCACTCTGCGCCATAGCTTTTCACTCTCTGTGCGATGCCTGCTTCGCAACATTTTTCATGCTTATGATAGCAATTCTGTTGTCACTAGATTGCAACAATTTAGACAATTTTTGATATGCCCCATTTTTCATCGAACGTTCGATTGACATGATTTAGATATATATAAAAAGCTCCTGTTGTAAACTAGCCAATAGAATAGGAATCACTTCCAAAACAAGTCCTGTTAAAAAGTTTGACACCCAAACTCAATTTTATCACTTGTCTCAACTTTCACAATAAAAAAGGTGTCCAAAACCCAATACAAGTGTTAAAAACAATTGCTAACACCCAAACTATATTTATTGAACCTAGGGCTATTTATATAACACACTACATGCACAATTACACACCGCTATAACATAATTTTACTATTCAACCCCTTTAATACAAAAAATAGAAAGGTAAAAATTTAAAATTAATTATTTAACCAACCAGATTTTTTAAAAATTAATTTTTAATTATGTGTGGATAAAACATACAATAAAAAATTATTCCTTATAGTTTGAGTAAAATGCAGTGAATATTAATTTTAAGAATCATTCACATGAGTTTTAAAAACTGAAGAGAAATATATTTAATTATGGTAAAATAGAGGGAATATCAGTGTATTTTGCTCTTATAGTTTGAATATGCACGAAATACCAAATTTTAAAGTAATTTGTGTGAAAATAAAACAAGTTGGCATATATTTTTTTTATTATGGACACATGTTATTCATATTTTCAACATGCACAATAATATTTTTTCCTTTTTTCTGCAGTAAAAAAGTGTGAGACTTGTTAAAAAATGGTAGTAGATATAACATTCATAGTAAAAAACAATGACAGGTAAGATATCTACAATAAAATTTTAAAGTTAATTTTAAAAAAATGAAAAAGTAGTTATCATTCGTGAGATTTTTTTTTGAAAATTTAATTTACTCAAAATAAAATAATATAATGTTATTTTTCATAAGAGGTAATTAGAATTAACTCAAATAAGCTTAAAAAAATTAAAATTAGGTTTAACTAAATAACACAATTTTAATTTTCAAGCCTAATCAGGCCAAACCAACTATAATTTTATTGTTTATATATCTGAAAAAATTTAATTCGTAGGTTCTTATAATTTTCTTCTCTTTTAAATTGAGTTTCTATAATTTATTTTATTTTAATTGAGCCCTTACAGTTTGATTCTTTAGATTTTTAATTTTAAAGATTAAAATCCTTGAATTGTTTCTTTAAAATAAAACTAAACACTTTTACACATTTATTAAATAATTATATAATTTTATAGTTGAAAATTTATACAATCAGATTACATCTTTTAAATAATTTTTACACATATAGAGTTTTTATAAAAGGTTTAATTAAAAAAATAAAAAAATTGCATTAGAAAAAATTTTCTATAAACATCAAAAGTGTTTTTATTTTGAAAAAGTAATCATTTATTGATATTTTTAACTTTCATAGGTAAACATGTATTAAACTATAAGAGCTCAATTTAAACAAAATAACTATAAAGATCTGATTAAAAATTAAGAGAAACAGTAAGGACTTGTAGATTTTTTTTATGATAAATTATTTATATTTTTTAATACACACACATATATATAAGTAACATGTTAAAAAATAAAAATTTTCTTTAAATTTTATTTTTCACAAAGCAACACTTTCTAAAATAAAATAAATTATTATTTTTATTTTAATATGTATTTATATAATAAATTTTAAAATAAAACAATCTGTTATTTAGTTTAAATTTACATAAAAATATAACAAGAATATACTAAATATTTTTTTTATCCTTTAAATATTAAAACTTCCCTGTGCATCGTAAGGAGAATAGTTGTAATAAATCTGTACTAATTGTTTATTTTAATCCCAGGATTTTACGGCAGAGAGACCGAGGGAGCATTAATTTGTCTAAAAGAGGACAATCTTTGACTCAAATCTTAATCCCAACCAGCTAATCTCAAGTTATTACTTTTGGCAAGATCATGAACACCACGTGTCACGGACAGCTGGAATTGATCCAGTCAAACATCACCCGCGTTGACTTCATCCAACAACTCAAAATTTTTCGCGCGGTTCTTCTACCACCTTTCTTTCTTTGTTTCTTTTTATATCAACACCACCTTTCTTTTTTTTTTTTTTCCTTTCACTTTCAGTTTATAAAAGCACAGTAGTCTATTTTTTTTCCTCTCCCAATAAAACATGAGCATGCACTGATTTTAATAATGGCTTAAAAAAACTCAACTTGGAGGAGGAAAAAAACCACATAATCACAAGGAAATAAAAAAATTTAAGAATTTTTGTGAAGAAAACCCTGCATCCTTATAAAATAATAATACCCAAATCCTTGTTATTCCCCTTCCTTGACTTATTTTAGGCGAGTAAACTAATAATTTAATGTCAATAAAATATTAATTCCCTCAATTTCCTGATTCATTCATGGGATCCTTTTAGCGAATTTATCTTAATGTCTTGCTATCAAATAGGAAAATTACATGCAACCGTTTTAATTTTAATCAAGGAACAAAAGTCCAAGATGGGACCCAGTAGATGCCAGCTCATCAATGGCTTTCGCTTTAAATGGCTTAGGCGCCGACTCCCAAGTCCGTGTCCCCTCCACGGTGGAAAACACACCCGACCCGAGAAGACATCAATATGAACACACAGCGTCGAAGAAGAAACAGAACATAAATTCAAAGCAAACGGGGAGAGGAGGAGGGAGAGAGAGAAGGGAAGAGAAGAGACGACAAGAGAGAAGCTCCGTTTTCTTTTTCTCAGAGTTGACTAAATTTCCTTCTGAACACGGAATAGAAGAATCAAGGAGGAACAAGAAGAAGAAGAAGAAGAAGAGTGACTCAAGTAACTACATCCATCTCTTCCTCTCTCTTTCCTATTATTTCTTTCGCCGTAAGATTTGCGCCACACACAGGATTTATCGCTTCTGTCAATTCTCTTTCATAATTTCCTCACAGGTTCGTTTTAGCCTCCCCTACTTTTCAAATTCAGTATACTTCGTGTTGACCCTCTGATCTTGCATTTCATCTCCTTTGATTTCTGAGAATTTGCGTTTGCTTTTCTGAATTTACATCTCTGCACCTGCATTAATTTCTGTTTCTCTGCTTTCTTCAATTCATCAGCACCTGCGATTTTATCAGTTTCTAGCTTCTGTGGAAACTGATATCTTGTTCGATCTCTACCTGGAAAATTAGGTTGATTGGAAGTGACTTTAGCATCTCTGCTTGCTCTTATGTACGCTTGAATGAGTTCTTTTTAATTATTTACTTTCTCAATTTGTTTTTCTTTGAGGAATAATTTTTCTGTATTTGCTACGAGCATGGCGTAAATTCACTTATATTCTCTATATTTGTGGGTACCAAATAACAATAAATATATTGAGCTATGTGGATCATAGAGTTGTTGGCTGGTGCTAATCTATTTATCATCTATGGGTACTAGGTAGATTGAAGGACGGGAACATAGATATGTGCCTACAACATATTAAACTTTTGTTTTCCGAGTTTGCTCGTGGAATTGAACTTCTTGTTCTGTTCTTTTTCTTCTCTTATTTTGTTTTTTCTTCTTTAACGTCAGATTCAATTTGCAGGACAATTTTTTAATAGTTGCTTTGAAGAATTGAAGCTAAACTTTACTTTTATCTGACGCAGATAGCGAGAACTTTGGATAGCTGTGTTTTTGGAACCAGTGTTTGTGGATGAATATGTCATTTGAGCTTGATATCTACATTTCTTCGGAGTGAGTTTCATTTTTAGTAAGATGACTGAACAACCTCGGATAGTTAAATGTCCCAAATGCCGGCAATTGCTTCCAGAGTATTCACACTATACGGTATATATGTGCGGGGGATGCGGTACAACTCTTCAAGGTAACAAACAAATCACGCCACTTTATATAATTGGGCTCCTTAATTCTGTGTTTAAACTTGGAATTATTATTATTTTTTTGGGCTTTTGAACTTTCTAAACACTTCAAACAATGCGCTTGGGTTGGTCCACTCTTGCAGACTTTTTCAACCCATACCAATTTTTATGATTTCGTTTGATGTCCATATATACTGCTTGCTTGATTGCTATAATGTCTTGTGCATGTGTTAGTTTTCAATGAAAATCCAACTCCTGCAAATGGGGGTGTTGATTCTATATACCTCTTATAGTTTTGATGTTGTAACTGAAATCCTTTCATTTTTCTGCACACAGCCAAGAAACGAAAAAAGGAGGCCGCCAATCGAGAGTCCTGCGAACATAAAACTGATGCAGCTCCTAGAAACGTGGTGAATCTTGCTTCAGAAGATAAAGAATGCAGCAACATAGAGCAGCCAGCTCTTCCTCAGGAGAACGTAGTGAGGTCAAAACCAACTAGCTCTTCCTCGGAAGAATGCTCTTTGGAGGGAGATGGTGGAAGCAATCAAATTGAAAATGGGGAATGCAGGCAGTTAGTTCTTCTTCGGGAGAATGCTGAGAGTACAAAAAGAACTAGTTCTTTCTCAGGAGAATGCTCTTTGGATGGGGATAGTGGAAGCAATCAAAATGAAAACGGGGAATGCAATGCAGACCAGTTAGTTCTTGTTCTTCCTCAGGAGGAAATTGTGATACCAAAGAGAACTAATTCTTCCTCAGGTCATTGTTCGTCGAATATAAATGGTGTATGGGATCAAAGTGAGGATAGGGAATATGATGAAAAAAAACTGGCTCTTCCTCAGCAGAATGTTCTGAGGGCAGAATCAACTAGTTCTTCCTCAGGTGAACATCCTTTGGATGTTAATGCAAAGGAGGAGTTTAATGGAAAGCAGCTAGTTCTTCCTGAGGAGAAAGTTCAGAAGACAAAACCAACTAGTTCTTCCTCAGGAGAATATTCTTTGGATGTAAATGATAAAAAGGATCAAATTAGAAATGAGGAAAGCAATGTAAAGAAGCTAGTTCTACCAAACGGGTCAAAAGCAGATAGTTTGTCCTCAGCATGTTTGGATGAAAATGGCAGTAAGGAACAAAGTAGTAATGGGGAGTGCAACGAAGAGCGGCTAGATCTTCCCCATGAGAACATTCAAAGAACAGAATCAACAGGTTTTTCCTCAGGAGAATGCTCCTTGGATGAAATTGGAGGAAGGGATCAAAATGAAAATGGGGAGTTCAATGTAGCTTTCAGTCTATCAGATGAAGAGATGGAAAAGGAGACGAATGTCAATAACCTGTCACGTGGTAGATTCAAGCAGCATAAAGTATCCAACGATGGTTGTTCTACTGAGCTAACAGAGACGAAGATTGAGGCCTCATCAGTGCTGATGGGAGGAGAGAGTTCAGAAGGAGAGACAACTGATACCCAGTTGCAATTAGCAAGAGCAGCAGGGTCAGATAATAGAAACTTGGTATTTCAGGAAGCAAAAGAGCAGTTAATTGGTGCTTCAGATGGAGTAGATGCCAAGAATGACGAATCCGCTCAAATAGAAGCGGAAGCCAGATTGGAAATTAATAGAAGCGATAATACTGCCAAAAGCTTAACAGATGATAACTCAGCATCTGGTAAGGGGAGCACATCTGGTAATCCTGTATCTTCTCATGATAAACAAATGAAGCAAGGTCAAGAGCCTAAACCATATACATTTGATAACTCAGAAGTAATGAATCAGAGTTCAGAGCTTAGTGGTGATCTTGGAGAATTGTCTAAATCCCCAACCACAAGAAGCTATCATGCTTATGATGGCAGTGTCTCTTCTTATGATGAAATGGATAAGCAATTCCCTGACCAACATTTGAAACCTTTTGAGAATAATTACAATGCGACAAATGTTGTTTCTGAGGGAAGGCACAGAAAGGGAAAAGGCCCTGTAAATAGCTTGAATGTTCCACCTGATTTGCCCAGGGGAAAGCATCACGTCATGAAAGACACCAAAAGGAGTCAATACGAAGCTCTAGAGACTACAAGACGTGACCGCCCAGCTCGTCACCGAATGAGAGCAGGGACAGAAAATTATCCACCTAGAATGCCCTACCATCGAAGTGGTTTACAATCTAGCTATGGGAGTGACACGCCATCAAATCAAGTGCCTGATGATGAGCACTATTTCAGTAGCTCAAGCCTTCTTTCACCTGACTACTGTGAGGACTCTGACCAAGAGAAGTTAAATCTGTTGATAATGATCCATAAACTGCAGAATCAACTCAGAAGAACGAGCTCTCTGAAAGGGGATACAACTGAAAGACTTTTCCCTGGTGTCTCTTATAAGGGCGATCATGTTTCTTCGTCCCGTAACCATGAATTTCGTGAAGGAAGAAGATTTAGTCATGATCTCAGTGACCCTTGGTGTGATGCAAGATACTTCCATGGACCAATCAATTGGCGACAAAGGAGTAAGATACCACCAATACCTTTTTCAGCTGAGGCAACAAGCAGCACGCACCATGTTGATAATTCTTGCTTCCATTGTCAGCACAAAGAGTGGCGATATTCAGCAGACTTGCCTCCGCATGCTCTTTTCCAGCTTGAACAGTCGTGCAAATATCATCCTGGTCACAACAATTGTTGCTTCCCTCATCGCTCTTATCCATTCAACGCACCAAGGTACATCAGCTCTAAACTCCAATTATATGGCCATGAAACAAAGTCTAACGATCAGAGGCATCGAGCACATGAGATGAGAATGTACTTTAGGGAGAAACAGAACATGAACAAGAAACATTTCCGACCAGTTGCAGGTGGAGCCCCCTTTATCACTTGTCGTAATTGCTTCAAGCTGCTTCAGTTGCCTGCTGATTTTCTCCTTTTCAAAAGGGTATGTCATCAGCTAAAATGTGGACACTGTTCAGAGATCCTCAAGTTTTCATTGCAGGATAGAAGTCATATAGTTTCTTATGACCCAAGTCGGCATGGTGACCAAAGCGAGGTGATTAATGGGAGCAATCAATTGGCTTCTTCTGCTTCTCGTGCCAATTATTTTCATTCTTCACATGTGGTCCCGATTTCATTTTCTGACGATTATGGAAATTATGTGTCTAAAAGCTACTCCTCAGGAGGAGATCCTGTTTCACTGACCTCATTTCATCCATTACATGGCAGTGAGTGTGACACAAATGTCTCTTGTGCTTTTGAGGAGGAAGACAAGATTGCTTCTAGACATGCTCGTACAAGTAATACTCCTGTACGAACAAACGAATCAACAGTGGTCTCCTCAAACATGTCAGGGTCAGAAGCGGAGACAGTGCCGCCCCCAAGGAGCTCGCCACTTCATCAATTGATGGGTTATTCCTCACCAAGCCAAGTGATAAGAGGAATTCAGTCACACGGTAATGGTAATGAGCTCATGAAAAATGAACACGACTATAGCTGAGTATAAGTGCTTTAAGGATTAAAGCATAATACTTGGGTAACATTTCAGGACAAGATATGACGAGATTTTTTTTTTTTTTTGGTTGGGTTTTGTAGTTACCAGTTCGTAATCTTCAATAGGAGAAATTGGATTGCCTTTTTGCGCTCTAACTTTTATGCTAGAACTTAGGAGTAGCTTAGCTTCCTCTTTCAATTTGATTTATATTACTTGGGCAACATGTGCATCTTCCCTCTTGTTGTGCATGGGAATGTATGTTATTGGTAATAAATATTAGATGTTGACAAATACAGGGTTCTTGTGTACTTTAAACTTGTATTTCATACTTTATATATATACGTTGTGTTGTGATCACATATTCGTAAAATATCATTTCTTTTAAATCCATCACCTTCTCGAGTTCTACTTGTTTGTTGGCATTCATAATCACTTGGTTGATTCTTCATTTGTTTACTATTTTCGTTTAGATTCCTATTCTTCTTCGTTTAATCTATTTCTTCCATTGTTGTCATGGAAACTGCACAGGCTCTTCTCAGGCATGACACCGATAAATTTATGGAGAATTACACATAATTGCGATTCATGGGTTTCTTTGGTCAAATACAAGGTAGTATACTTCAACTGTAAGATGAAAATCATTAAACCGACGCCATTGAACCTCTGGCAACAGTAAATTACTTTACATAAAATCTTTAAATAATTTATATTATTCTGTTTTTTAATATAAGAAAAGCTATAATATATTTTTGTTTGTATTTATAAATAAAATCATAAATTTTAATAAGTATTTATCATGAATTTTTTTAAATTATATTTTATAAAGTCAATATTTTTATCAGATAAATTCATTTCTCTGTCTCTTCTTGCTGCTGTCATCAACCAATGATCTCGAATTCTGTGTCATTACCTTCTATGTCTGCCACGTATGCATCTTCCTCACGCTCCAGACACGTGCACTGCCTTCTCTTTTCTTCCTCGCCTCCTATAGATACCCCCCACCATAACGTTAACTCTTCATTCCAATTTCCAACCCAGAAACAGAGAATCAAAAGAGCCTAACCACTAACCATGAAAGCGTTCTTGTGTGAAGCCAAGCCACACAGCCTCTGTTCGTTTGTTGCTCCTTGCAACACTTGCTTGAAGCCTGGCAAGATGAAGATGAGCCAAGCAGCCTGGAGGCTGGTTCAGAGGAAAAAAGAAAATGGGTTAGCAGTGGGATGTGGGATTTGGGGTTTGGAGGCAGAGTTGGAGAGAGAATTGGAAGCAGAGATGAAGCAGAAGCGTGAAGGAGAAGGAGAAGAGGAGAGAATTGAAATGGCGAGGTTCAGGCATAAATGTGGGGAAGGGAAGGGGCTGGTGGAGCTGTTGGAGTGTCTGGAGAAGGAAGCCATAATGGGTGAAGATGTTGGGAAGGAGCCTCTTGATTACAACAGAAGGGCTCAGATATTTGATAAGAGCTCCAGAGTCTTCCAAGCTCTCAGGGAACACAACTCTGCTTCTTCTCCTCAACAATCTTCACAATGAACATCCACCTCACTCTTGATCTTGATCTCCATTCTTGTATTTCCATTCCACCAGTTTTGCTTTCTTTCTTGGTTTCTTTCTTGTTATGTTAATAACTGTTCAATGTGTACAAGAAAGGGTGTTTCTGAAGCTTGATTTCTTGCTGTCACATAGCATAACTGCTACATTTTGAAAGCTATTCTTGGGCTTTCCAAGAAGCTTCTAGTGGGAGTGGGTTATTGTTTGGACCCACTATATTCAATCGTCTTTCTGATACTGCTATAACTTTTGCGATGGTCCTGTTTCAATCTTCAGATTGAATAATATCTCTATTCAGGTTCTTTATTTATGCAATAACCATCCATTAAAATTAAATAGGACTAATTAAGATGACTTCATTTTATGGCGAGATCATGAACCTGAACACTTGTAATGACTACCTTGGGTCTGAAAACAGATGCATCTACCACAATTACAGTTGTTACACTAGTATTGATTGACCCTGTCCTAAATAGCATATCTTTGACAGACCCGGGTTAGGAAATAAAGTTTGTCAAAATTCACTGCACTGGATTGTTTACACTTCACAGAACACATTTGGTTGCTCTTAAGGGTGTTCAATCTGAACCCGTCTCGATTGGCCCGGTATCATCCCGATCATATCGGGACGGGTCTTGTCCCGACCCGAAAATAATCGGGACGGGACTTTACGGGACGGGACAGGAAAGGGGTTCAGGACGGGACGGGACGGGACACGGGATTACCATCGGGACGTCCCGTCCCGTCCCGAATATTATATATATTATTTTTTATTTTAAATATATTAATTATATTAATATAATTTATATTTATATTAATTATATCAATTATAATTTTAATACTTACAATTCTTATTTAAAACTAAAGTGTTTTTATATTGATAATTTTAATAGCATGGAGTAAACATGGCGATATCTTTTTTATAATATATTAATTATATTAATAAATTTATTCTTATATCTATCTATTTAATAACTTTTATTTATAACATATTTCTTACTTATTTTTAGAAGAATAATTAGCTTAGTACATCTTCACTCAAGTAGAAGAACAATTATTTGATGTTGTATTTGACTTGCCTGTTGTTGCTAATCTTATAGCATAAATATCACTTGTATTTTTTATTATAATATGTCGTGGTGATTAATATAATTCAATAATTGATTTTAAATTATTGTTATTTATATACTTGTGTTATTTTGATTTTAAACTTAATAAATTATATAATTTAAAATTTTAATGAACATTATTATCCAAATTTTTTTTCAATATTATTTCATTTATCGGGACGACGGGATGTCCTGATCTTGTCCCGATCCCATCCCGACTCTTAACAGGACGGGACGGGACACTAGACCAAAATTCAGTCCCAATTTTTTTTTCGGAATGGGACACGAGACGAGGGTGTCCCGGTCCCGTCCCGTGAACACTCCTAGTTGTTCCTCCTCCTTTTTTTTTTTTTTCAATTGCCCGAAGTGACCCCCCCCTCTCTCTCTCTCACACAACTTCCCCTATAATTGAGACTTGAGAGTTTGATCCCTCAGTGCCATTGAATTGCAAGGCTCTTGGCAAAAGAGATTATTTTTATACTTTAAATGGTTTTATCTCAAAAGATTAACTGTTATCTCTTAATTCCAATAAAAGTAGTTGAAAACGTCTTGCTCGGATGAATTAAAGAATCTAAGCGCATTTATTGTCATTCCTAGTTTTCCTAGGGACCATCTCCACAACTGAACAACAATAGGAGGAAGAAATCCAGATTCCAGACTAAAAACCAAGAGAAAATTTTAAAATTCAATCTCCATCGCAGAAACAGATGTGAGAAGTTCTCCACAGGAAGTCACATTACTCAACAGTTCTCAAATACTCGTCATGCAAGAGGAAGAAAATTTTTTGGGCAACTTCAGATAATTCACTTCTGCTCAGGCTCAGGCTTCTCCAAGAAAGTCCTCTTCAACCAACCCCACGGCTGCCAACCGTTTTAAGAAGATAAATTAGAATTGCACCATCAATAAGAAAGTTAAGAAGAAACAAACATGTCACATGTTGACACATAAATATCAATAAGAGAACCATGTAAGCATAATGTCCCAACCAAAAGCAGAATTTAAATCAAAATCAAACATCTTATAGACAGTTGATACAAAAGTTGCCAAGAATACTGATAGCTGAAGTTTGGAAGATATTAAACCCCGGTCACACCCCATCCCCTTAATTGAATATCATGAATGGCATTGGGACTTTTAGGAAGACGACCAATGGTTACTTTTTTCAAATATGTCAGCAAGTTCGGTTAAAATTTCATGAAACTTTGTTAAATAACAAAACTGGTCTAAGAAGCAGCCGTTAATTAAACAAACCAATTTGTTAGCATGCAATTTCTGAACAGAACTTCCATCGCCATTATTGTTAGAATACAGGAGTTGGGCTCATCCAAAACCAAAACCCATTCCAAACCCAATCATGCAAAGTCCAAAGAGAAGATCAAGGATAGACCTAAGGTCAAGTCTAAGGCATCGTCCAAGTTCAAGCAATCTCAGCAGACGAGTATCTAACTATTATACTTCCTGTTATGTAACACGTGGGCTTAGTTAGGTTGTTACATCTAAATAGAGTTAGCTCAACTGTATGCGCTGGCATTAGTTTACTCTGTAAATATCTATATATATGAATGAGCTTCTGAAATAATTAACTCAGAAAGCATTTTCTCCAATTTATCACTCTCTCTGAATTTCTCTATTATCACGAAGACACAAAACAATCACATGGCCTCGAAACATCTATGCCATGCTTTTAGCGGTCAAGTTTGTCAAAGAATATGGAGTCCCTACTGCACAGCAGGAGGCTAACAACGTGCAGTCTCAGCCCTGTCTTGGCTTCTTCATAACATAGTACCTACATTGGACGTTCTTACTCTCTATTTTGACTAATTAAGGGTATTATAAATGAGTTGTTAATTGTTAACCAGCAAAGACAAAATGGGGTTCAGCCTTTGCTTAAGGGCTTTACCAAGTTTGGTTTCGATTATGAAATAGAATAATAGATTATCACACTCCTGCAGTAAGCAAACCCTGTGCAGCATACAAGAGCTTTGCAATAGAGGATCTAGAGTGGCCAAAATGCAAAATCAAAAAAAAATTGTGATAAAATAAATAAAAATATGCATTTCAAAATCATGTTAAAATCTCAAAGAAATAGAAGGCAACGTACTGTTGGCTAATGGACCTGGAAAACGAGAAAAATCAAATTCAGGCAAGTGTTACTGGCATCTTGTATTCCCAACTTCGCAAGTACCATTAGCTATACAGTATCTTCAATAAACATGTGCTGAGGAAGCGTACTTTCTTGCAAACTTGCCCTCAACACCTTTTCAGTGTGGCATTAAAAAAACTCAAAAAATAATTTAGTTGCAGAAGATAATTAATTGAGATTACAACTGATGGGATAGAACATAAGAAAGAGGCTCTCAAAGATCGTGATTGCTTATTATACTATAAAACTGATGGGACTGTCATAATGGGTGTTTTCCAAAGGGCCTGAACGGCCATGCCAAGATAGGATTTTGAACAAAAGGAGGCAAAGGTTCTTTTTTTCTTTCTGAACAACTCCGTTGGTGAGAAGCATTTCGAAACTCAAAGCATCAACATCTATTTCACAAACTGTGTCACAAGCCAGACCAATGTGACCAGGACAATACCATGAGCAGAATCATTAAGATCATAAGCCTTACCATAAACTAGCCCAATTTGCTGTACTCTTTCAAGTTGCACGTTATGAGAATTAATTCCCAGGCGGAAGATGGGGGGAAAAAAGGCAGCTTCCAAAATTATATCACAAAAATTTTGAAAATCGCGGTCTGGTTTACTAATCAAAAAGAGCGTGATAGGCATTAAAATCAGATATGATTCTTCTCGCCCTTGTCTATTGATGGCTGTATTTTTCATTGACATGTACACATACATACATACATACATACATCCATCCATCCCTCCCTCCCTCCCCTTTCACCCAAAAAAAAAAAAAAAATCACACGTGATTCCATGAAGTTTGCGAATCAGCAAGACCAGTAAATCTGAATGTTCTCAGAGAAAAACAAAAATCAAAGAAAGCAGAAGCATCGAAAGATAATGCAATGTACAATCGGAATATGTTAGAGAGAGAGTAAATTAGGAGTTATACACTACCTGAATCAGATACAGAGCTCCGGAGGCGGCAGCGACGCCCCACATGGCAGCGGCCTTGACGTCAGTGGGTTGGATACGAAGCTTGGAAGCTAAACCGGCCATTACTGCAAAATTTCTGGACGCTCAATTCTCCGATGAAAGGAACCCTAGTACTTCAATTAATTCGGAATATTACGAAAGAACTTTTTGATCAACATTGACCTGGAGTTTTATAACACGATAAAATCTAGACCGTCAAAAGGATGTGATATGACCAAGGAGCCCCTGTCGTCCAGTTTGTCCAATGATAATTCGCCATGTCAAACTCATTATAATATTCGAATGTTTTCCATGCTGTGGTGCTAATGTCCTATATTCTAATAATGAGACAAAACATTACAAAATATTTGAAAATTCACTTCCTCAATAAATAATATCATGGAAAATTGTTATGGATGGATTTTGATTAGCATTTCACATTCACGCATCAAGTTTTAGACTAGTCATCCATTTGTCAAACAACATCTGTGTTATCGTGCTCCCTAAGGCAGTATTTCCGATCACAATTCTCCATCTTTTTTCAAGTAGTGTCATCAGATGAAGAAACTCATATCACTTTATTAATGAATCTCATTCATTTGATTCAACATAAACAGACACTCATTTAAATTTAAATATTTGAATCCAAACCTCGTCTTCATGCAAGTTTTCTATCTAGCATGCTAGGTAGCACAGCACACAACTCTTCACGGTTGAATTACATAAACAAAACTATACAATATTGCATTTTTTTTTTCATTTTCTTCTTATAATATAAAATAATCCATTGGAAAAAAATTGCTTCAGAGTTCAGATTATGCCAAAAAATATCAACATGAACGGTGGGCCAAAGGAAAACACGAATACTGAGAAATGTCATGGTTCGCTAGGAATCCAGATGGAAGGGGAAATGAAGTAGGTATAATTAGACAAGTAAAATAAGAGTGATGTTTATGTTAAAATGATCGGTTACAACACAGCATAGAATGCCAAAAGCGAGGCTTCTCAGGCTCCAATCCAACAAATTGTTCCGAGGAGGAAAGACCACACTAAACGTACATCTGTAAATTCGCCGCACCTTGAAAGAATGAGAGCACAAAACAAAACACTTTGTTCAAAGCGGACATGAAAGTAAACCTCTGGTCTTTTCTGTCTGGCCAGTTAAATTGAACGTGAAAGCTGACCAGGTTTTCTACTACAACTATCCGGTTTACTTGTCGGTCGGCGACCCTTGTCTGGACCGCCTATGATTCCCCATCTCTCAAACTGTCTTTGCCGAGCTCGAGCCCTCTCCTTCTCTTCCTCTGATTTCTGTGAATAACAATATGGACAAGAAACTCCATATTCAAATTCCGGAGCTTCCATGTCACCATCACTCACAGGCTTCTTACAACCATAGCATAGCTTGAAATTTCCTTGCACCAAACCATGGTCCACAGAGACTCGCTTGTCAAACACAAAGCACTCACCCTGCCAGAGGCTTTCTGTTTCTGGCACTTCCTCCAGATATTTCAGAATTCCACCTTCCAAGTGATAGACCTAGGAAATTCCAAAATGGAAATATATGATGTAATTATAATCTATGGCAACAAACCAAAGTATTAAGGATGATGAAAAAAAATATATCAATTAACACAAACATTACAGCATAAAATTTAGAATAAGATGGATATTTAGATCCTATTATTAAAACATTGAGAAACTATTTTGATAACAAGAGGAAAGGACTGATTAGAAGAACTAAAAATAGAAGGACGCTATTACCCTGCTTTCAGAAATGTTAATTATATTTCGAAAGTCCATTTCATGACAACAGCATCGCAACGGGCAGGTCACAATTTTTGAAATGGTTCCAGAATTTGAATAATGTATCGTCAAATAACATTTTTTATGCCCACACTTTGTAAGACATGCCACTAGTTACCATGACCACTAGAGGTGTAAAATGCAGGTCATAAGGCAAAAGAGATGGCCAATTATTTTAAAGCATTATTATTAAATAAACAATTCTTCAAAGGCGACCGTAACTAACAAGCAAGGGTTCTTCCTTTCAACTGTTTGATAGGCTATACATAGGCATCAAGTTACAAACAAAAACGCCCAGAGAATATTAACAAATATAAGCTTGCAACACCCAATGATGTTTAAGGGGAGAATGACCTCTTCGAAACCTTTACTGAGGAGTAGACTTGAAGCTTTTTCACATCGTATACCTCCAGTGCAATACATTGCAACACGTGGCATATGATTTTCAGGATTCTGTGTTTTCTTTTCAGCACTTTCACCTGAATTGTTCATCTCAACTATTGGAGGCTTGCTATTGGTTCTAGTAATCTGAAAATGATCCTCCACCCAAGAAGGGAATTCCCGAAATGATGTTGTACATGGATCAACTGCTCCTTTGAACTTTCCTATTCTGGTTTCATAATCGTTCCGTACATCAATCACCACCTAGATATTTAAATGTTGGTAAGAGACAATTTTGCACATCTAGCAAATATGATGCCTGTACCATATCTGCCATTAGCTATTCCAGTTCCTGATAATATTCATAATTTCATATAAAATGGTGCACAAATTCTTATTCAGCCACATACAATTTGCAATTCATATACAGTAGGAACAAACAAAAATATGCTCAACTAGATGAAAGAAAAACTTCTACACGTCCTCAACTTTTTCCTTTCCCGCCCAAGAAATAACATTCTTAGGAAAAGACAATTTAGACTTGAACCGTGCATTCAGAAAGCAAACAAACTACAGAGCCAAACAACTAAGGAAAAGATAAAGAAGAACAGATAACTATTAACCCAGAAATGCTACCCCATGGTTATGCTCATGCAGATGATGAATAGATGGCCTAAAGTTTTAACCTTTGAACACATGTTGCAGATGACATATGCTACCCCATGGTTTCCGCATGTTGACATGCACATGATGAATGGGATGAGAATTCAAAGAATAATAATAAGATTAATGAAGGGGGAAAATAACAATTTTTCGAAACATGAATGTTTGGGTTCTGAGCGGCAAGAGGGATGATGTTGCACTTCCTCTGTGATAGAGTTTGTGATTCCCAAAAGATTTGCCTGTCATTTCTTAAGGCTTACAGTAGACAATCTAGGCAGGGAGGTGACTTAGAGAAGACTAAGACCAGTGGTCAAGAGGTTTATTTGAAGGTTTATAACTGTAAGATTCTAATGATTAAAGAAAAGTCAGATTAGATGTAGCCTAGGATATGGGTAGTGTCAGTAGGGGTAATGACTACTTTTTGACTCTTTAAATATGTACTTCCGTGATGAGGGATGGGGAGGACTTTTGGAGAATTGTGGTCAAGTCAGGAGAATTCTGGCCTCTCAAATGCCAGATTAGGGGTGGAGAAGATCATCTTTTCTTCATCATGTTATCTTTCTACTTCAATTTGTATTTGTGAGAGGCCAGTGTTCGTGTTGCTGCTCAGAGGGTGTAGTTTATGTTGTTTCATGCTCTGTAATTGCCATCTGAGTGTAGTTTCAGTCTTTATTTTAATTGTAATCCCACTCTATTCTTCAACAATAGTAATTATTAGTTACATTTACAGTGTATGTTCTGGTTTTGCTTGTTTTTAAGCTTAATAGAGTAGAGGGTTCCATCACTTTGGCATTCCAGTCAACTTTATTTTTAAAAAATTAAATCTCACGAAAAAAGTTTATGCCCCAAATTGACTCTTCCACTCCTTCACTCCTTGCTATTCCATCTCTTGTCATTTACCCAAACATAGCCTAATATTTAGACTAATTTGAGAATCCAAACAATTTAAGAAAAGCAAACACACTTGATATAATGAGCTTATAAGGTGGTGTAAAAGACAGCCAAAGACTGGAGGAGAAGAAGAATACAAAGATACTCACTATATCCGGATCACTAATCAGTGCATTCCAATCTCTTGGGTTCACATACTTCCCAACCCTTTCAATAGGTGATACAGCGGGCATCCCAAGCGTAACAATCTGCCAGCACCAAGTTAAAACATAAAAATGATAAGCTGCCTAAACTTCAACATGGTCAGGCTTTTAGTAAATCCTTATTTGATCAATCTTTTCATTCTCTGGCATTGTGAATGATTTACCTCTTTCTTCAACTTAACCCTCACATGGTCCCATCGGAAGGGTGCATCTTCCCCTGCAGCTAGAGGAGAATTGGCACTATGTCCATGATGAATAGCTTCTTCCTCAGGACTCACAGGTGATTCCACTTGTCTTAGACCCTTAAGACGGCTATCACTTTGTATAAACGCAAGAACTTTCTCCACTGACTCGCGAGTTCCACATATGCTGCCATTGATTCCTTCAGGCGCAAGAATGATACCCCCTGAAATGCGCTGAATAGGATCAGGTTGGTGAGGCACACGGATTACGATGGTTTGAAGTCCCAGGCAGACTAATAAAAAAAAAATCTCAGTATACTACGTGTATAATATATGACAGAAAAAATGCCATAAATAACAAGAACAACTCTACATTCTAAAATTTTAAGTTCAAAATATAAATTCGAAGCATTGTTGCTGTTGAAATAATACTGTAAGCCAGCAAGAACGAAATCTATGACATCGCGAACGCATTAGTTCCAACCACTCATAAATTCCTGAATCGTCATATCTTCTAGTATATACATTATATGTTTTGGCGACAAATACATTGAGGAGTATCTGAAGCACTGAGGTTCCAGCAGTCAAAAACTCAGGATTCCAAAAAAGCGTCTTCAAAACGTATCGACAGTATGACTAAAGACAACATTGTACGGATATTTGATTCCAACCACAGGAAGGAATACAAACAGAGTTTGTCCCTTGATTTTGTGCCTAAAATCAATAGATATAAATAGTATTGCGAACGCTCGGAATTCCAATAGGCCCTGAGCTTCCAATGGAAAAGAAAGCACGAGGATGAGTGAACATTAAAAAGCCCAGAAGAAGAAGAAGTACCAGTTCTTCACAGAGTGTCTTCAAGGGTTTTCGCATGTTGGCATGGTCAGGGAAATCCGCGAACTTGTAGAAGGACACCACCACAAGGGACTGGGGATCATCGGATTGGGGTTCTTGGTTTTCCAAATTGGGTTTTCCGGATATGGGAACGGGGTTACTGACCCCAAGACAGCCAGTCGAGAGCGTCATTCTTTGATGGCTAGGAGAGTTTGAAGACAGAGAAGGAAGATGAGGAAAAGAGATCCTGGGATTTGGAGAAGGGGTTCCGAGAAAGGAGGGTCGTCTACTTTCACAAGCAGCAGAAGACGAAGGCGGCGGCGGCGATAACATCCTCAGAGAGGGCAACGGCAATGGCGGTGTCCTGCTCCAGCTTCTAAGAAGCATTGAGGCCGTGTTTGGATATGGCACATTAAGACGACGATAGTCACTCACGAAAGAAACTGGATTTGCCCGAACCACAGGTTACAACTGCTCGATTCCACTTGTTAATCACATTTTATAAGATTCATTTCATTCATTTATAAGTCACATGATCCTTTAAACAATAGTTAAAAAATCTTTTTTAAAATTATCTTTTTTTAAATTTATTATGTATGGATATATTTAAAATTCTATACATTATTATTTTTTTATATTTTTTTTACATTCATATGAATAAGATTGATAGAAATGACTTCTAAAAAAAATTAAAAAAAATACTTACAAACTAATTAGGCTTAATTATGATCCATGTATAGAGAGAATTGTATTTTTTTTTTAATAATGGGTGAATTATATGTTTAATTTAAGGGGAGAGGAATAAAAAATAAGTTAACAATTTTATTCTTATTAAATTTAACTCGATTTTTATGTTTTGCTTTAAAAAAATGTTATATTATAATTTATTAAGTTTTTATTTTAATAATATGAACTTATATTAATAAAAAAATTAAAAAAAATATATTCATGTCATATTTTATCGGTAAGTCTAATAAAAAATATTAAAATTATATACATTAAAAAATTATATATTAATTTTTATGAGGTAATAAAAAATTATTTTATTAAGAGAGAGAAAGATAATATATAATTTTTTAATATTAAAAATAGTTTAAAATTTTTAAAATAAATGTTTAAATTAATATTAATTATTTTATTTCTCTCTCCCCCCAAAAAAAATTCAAATTGAAGGGTAGGGTCCCTCCCTTCTAATTTTTAAATCAAATAAAGAGTTATCCTTCTTTATTAGATACTAATCCGACGAGGGAAGGGGAGAAACTTTCTTCCCTCTCCTTCAAAATTTTTCAACAAGCACATTTTAAGTTTGTAATTGTATTAAAACATGAGAGAGAAATTATTTTTGGTTAAATTAAAAAGATAAATATTAAAAGTTTGAAATTATAAGTTAGATTGAAGCTACAACCTCTCATTTATTAGAAAACTTACAATGTCATTAGGTCATAGTCCCAGAGAAAATTTTAACGTAGCAATCTGAATTCTTAAGAACTTAAATCAAAGAATACTTGCAAGAAAAAAAATATTCGAAAATAATTTATCTTTTCGTGAAACAGAAAACTCTTCTAAAGAAACAAGTAATTGTTTTTAATGAAAAATCGTTTTGGTAAGAAACTACGTGTTGAATAAAATTTAAAACAAGTTGCAGTATCTGTAGATCATAAAATATGCCACTCACATAATAGGCTTGCTTCTACTCTGAAAAAAATATTATCCAAAATGTATAAGCCCATCTACCACCGAAACAAAACAAAAAATGTGTATAGAGGCCCATCACTAGTGAGTTACCTTTTTTCGGCTTGTTGCCAGCATCACTCGCTAAGTCATCAGACTCTATGTGAAGCAGGCTTAAGCGGAGGCCCATGCTCTTGAACGTTTCTTTGGTTTTTTTTTAAAGAAAATTAAAACAGGTGCTCGTACATGGATCTTCTTCTTCGTCTGTTCTCTCTCTTTTTTTTTTTTTTAGTGGAAATGGATCTTCTTCTTCTTTTTTTGCTGAGGAACAATTATAAATAGGGAGAGTCTTACCTGGGGCCTTAAGAATATAAAAATTTGCATTCATGACCTAACAAAATTTGAAGATGTGTTGCGAGCCTTAGGGCCATTCTTACAAATTTTGTTGCGGATAAAAAAATACATTTGTCTTTATCTTAACAAAATGTCTATGCATGCACAATATGATATCAACAAGTTCTCACTATAGTGTTTATGAATGCATAACACATTTGATGGACATTGATTTGAAATATATTGTTTCAATAAAAATATGTTGTTCATTATCGACTTTATATTATACAAATGTTGTAAATTTTCATATATTCACTAGGTTGAGAATTGAAAGATATCGTGTTATACATTCATAGATGTTATAGTGTTTATCATTTACTTGCTTGTACATTTCAATTTAAATTAAACCATATACATTATATGTGTTGTGCATTTAAGAATATTATATTAAGAATTCATAAATATCATATTTTATATATATGGACATTCTATTGAAATAAAGGCAAATAATATATCTTTTCATTTACAACAAAATTTACAAGAGAGACCCTCAAGCTTGTAGTGCATTTTTAGATTTTATTTAATCCTAAATGTAAATTTTTGTGCCTTGAGAACCCTAAGTGAGATTATCCCTTATAAATAACACTTGCTTGTCCGCTCATACTTACAAATGGAAACCCATACCCATCATATCCCATTCTGTGTTCAAACATGCATACTCCCTGACATATTGATATAGGAAGAGCGCTGGTGTTATTGTGGTGCTTGGGGCATACGCTGTATATTTTTCTTGTTGATATTGAGGACCGGTGTTATTAGAATCGAACCGGATAGGCTGGTCCAACTAGTTCAACCGAGAACCGATCCCAAGTTTGGTCCAGTCATCACAAAAAACTAAAAATTTTGAGAACCAGCCACAAACCAATAGAACTGGCCAAAATCGATTAAACCGGTTATATTTTTTTAAAATTTTTTATTTTTAATTCATATTTTTAAATTATAATTTATACATATTTATACCTAATAAGCATTATAAAATAAAAATGTATGAAATATGTATAAATTATTATATGTGTATATATTTTAAAGTTATAAATTATGAATTATGAAACACTTGAATATATTTTGGATGAAAATGATGTGATATTGATGGATGTTATATTTTTTATTGTATATTATTTTCTTTGAAAATTTAAATATTCATTTTTGTTACTATATATAATTATTTTTTTTATTTAAAATATATTAAAATATATATTTATTTATGATTGGTTGGACCGCGGTTCAAACTACGGTCCAACCATTGAACCACGAACCAGTATTTCGACCGGTTCAATTTTCATAACATTGGTTGGGACTAAACAAATGTATGTTGTATCATGAAGACCATAGGATTATGATCACAAAACTTATCCAAGAAATGTTTTTTTAATTAATTTGAATAAATGTTTTTTGGAAAGAGTTGATAAATCAAGTCGTGAATTAATTGAATGAAGTATGTATAGGCTATAGCTACCAAACAGGGGATCGACCTTCAATTTAGCTGGTGGGTCAAATATTATAAGCTGCCATTGCCAATCCATTGAATGCTGGAATCCGACTTTACAATTAGCGGGGGTATTTTTTTTTCCCCCATCTATAGAGTTGAATTGAAGGGCCCCGATTAATTAAAGTCAATAAGCAAGTCGATGGTGGATTGTACGATTAAGCAATGGCATAGCTGGCATTACTAACACGTGGCCCTTCATTTCACTTCATCACTCGACCCCATCGAGTAGAACTTAATTAGACTTTGCTTCCATCAGATCGTAGCTGAACCGAGTCAGTCGTCAGACGAAGGAGTGATCAACTCTCTCCTATTTTGGGACATGAACTTAATACCAGCCGACAGCCCGACGACAAAGACACGGCACTACACTGTACGACGTCCACTGCACAAAATGCGGGCATCATCCATTCAACACAGAGACATCTTCCTCTACGTTTTTAAGAGTTGCTACATTAATGCCCTATCCCAAGTGCTTCATGACCCTCGTCAACGAACATCTAGGTTAGCCTCGTTGTTTTTATTCGACATTTCACTAGTGATCTCTTTCATTATATACACGTGTCCTTCTAATGAAGATATACCTGCTTAAAGCATGATTAGGGATTAAATATGAACATCTCTGTTGGCCAGAATTTAAACATTTGGTCTCCATATTATCCAAAAAATTAGTTCATTTTACTAAATCAAACTCCTATCAATAGTTAGTAATATAAGTGTGTATTTTGTGACAGTAGGTTGTCACAAATCAAGTGTTGGAATTTTTCTAATCTCCTCCACCTCATTGATTTTTTACTTGACCATCCCTCAGATGCTTGTCAAGTCCCATGCAATTGTCCCAGGCAACCTCTGAAAACCCCAACCCCACTACTTGATTATTATTTTCATGTTCATGTCAAGTCAACTCGCGTGACTCCGTTTAATTGCCATCTTAAATGACGAACATGACTCCCAACAAAGCGATGTGACTTCTACTATTTTATTGATTAATAGTAAATTCAAGGAATACTTAAATCCATTAACATTCTTCAAACTTGAAAAAAGAAAAATTAATTGTTGCAGATAATGCTTCACATGCTACGATTTTGACAAACCACTATTAAAATTGTTCATCAGAAGAAATAAGTTGATAGATTACTCGTTTTATTCACATATAAATACATGTACTTATATCGGAAATTTTTATTTTATTATTAAATCAGATGACTAGGTGAACAACAAATTAAGATGTTTGTTCTACTATCCAATTTGTCCTGTTGAACGGTCGATTTAAGGAAAACAAACAAAGAGATGAGACAAATTGGATTTAACAGAGGAAGAGGCTATAATTGACCAAAGAAAAAAAAAAGGAAGAGGTAATACAGAACCCACGTGAACATTTGTTTGAAATTTTTCGCAGAGAACAATAATAAATCAGCTCCTTCATCCTGATTTATAAGATTTTATTTTTGAAAATGATTTAATATATCAAAATATTTTATATTTTAACAAAAATAAGATTTTATAAATAATAATTATTTCAATATCATATTCCTTCTTGTATTCCACTTCTTGGATAAATTTATTTAAAAAATGACAATAATTTTTTTTGAATTATGTAAATAATAATTTAATTTCTCAAAATATCATAATATCAATGAAGTCCCTAAAAATTTTTCTATCATTAAGAAATTAATGTAAATGACCAAATTACTCTTAGTTTAAATATCAGTTATCATTCACAATTAGTTTTGTTTTAAAATTCACAACTTTTTTTAAATTGTAAGAATTCAACAGTAATTTATAAGTTTGTATTTAAAATTATAATATTCTTCAAGTGTTGTAAATACCAATCACCATTCATAAGTTTATTTGAAGATTCACAATTTTTTTTAAATCGCAAGAATGCAACGGCAATTTGTAAGTTCACATTTGAAAT